ATTGCATACCAATTACCTTGACCTTTTGATCTTGACCCTAGAGATTTTGTACTTATGAAAAAACTTCAACCTTGGCCATAAAGTTTGAACGCTAAGGGCTTGTGATCTCATATTTCGCTTATATGTCATCCTTATGAAAAGATCCTTCATTGGATACCAAGAACTTTGATCCTTTGACCAACTTTTAAAATTAAAGCAAACCTTGACCATTACTTTAAAAAAAGTTAGGGCCAGTGCTTTCATACTTTAAAAATATTTAATACTTGTGACAACACCTTTCATTTGATAGCAAGACCTTTGACCTTGAGGTTTGACCTATTTTTAAAAATTTAACCTTGCCATAACTTCTAAACAGTTAGGGCTAAGGCTTCCATTCTTTACATATGTATTTTTTGTTGCAAGACCTTTCATTTGATACTAATGACCTTGACCTTGAAGATTTCCGTACTTATGAAAAAACTTAAACTTGGCCTACTTTTATATTTCACAATTGTATTTCCAGTGAGAATATCCTACTTTTGGTACCAAAATATTAAATTTGCATTTTAGAAAAGTTAAATCTTTGTTATGTTGTCGTAAGGGGGCATCAGTGTTTCACAAACACATCTTGTTCATTTTGTTATAGTCAATATTTTTGTTGTTATACCTTTCAAAATTTGTTCCTGTACAAATCTATACGGAAAAAGTCTAACGTTTCTAATGTTTTGCTGAGCGAGCATATAAAAAACCGATGTTTGACTGCTGAGTGAGATGTTGGACCGGTCGGTGTCATAGTGAGATGTTTGACCGCGTATGTCACAGTATGGGCAGAGATTAATCTCATTTTCATTCATTGGTGTTCAACAGTGACGGACCTGATGTTACATCACGAAAGACAGTAAAAAATACATGTATGTAAAATAAAATAAAATGAAACATGGGCACCTGATGTTACTTATTTTCTTGTAATAAAAAATAAACCCCCTACCTAATAATTAATATTAGGTAGGTCTATTTTTTTTATTACAAGTAAAAAGTGACGTCAGGTGTTGGTGAATAAAAAGTACACCGTATAACAAAACATTTAATGTCTGAGTTCACGGGCAAAATGTGTTTTGTCGACCATCGAACCAAACTGTCTGCCTTTGGCCTAATGGCCTCAGGCAGATAGTATGGTTCTTGGGTCTGAAAAAACGCAAGTTGCCCTCGAACTCAATCACTAAATGTATATTATTTGACCGTGATTTTTTTTAATAGTTCATTATTTGTGACAAGTACCTTCAGATGAAATAAGTGATACATAGTGAATGTTCTGCTAATATTTTTATCCCCAAAATATTGTAATTTTTCAGTTTTTAATAAATTTTAAAAAATGTATATTTTGCCATTATTTGACAAAAGATAACTAAATTTTCAAATAATTCAGCATATTAAAGATATACATTGACAGTATTGATGTTGTTGTTTTCATAAAGAATTAGTAACAGACTTATGGTCGCGGCATGCCTCAAAAATGGTGTAAAAATTTGTTTTAAGAAGAGTGATTTTGGTAAGATTGCCACGCATTAAATAAGCCATATTGGTCACAAATTTTGTATTTCGGGTTACCATGGTAACAGAGAATATCCAGACAAAAAGTATACATACTAGTTTTACCGTAGGAAGTTTAGTATATGCCAAGTTTGAAGAAAATCTGAGACATGTCGTGGCCAGCCTTTTTTCAATCTGTTTGATTTTTACAGAGAATTGGTCTGAAAATGTAAGATTCCTGCAAATTATATTATTCCTAATAAATATGGACTTATGATGGCATTACTGTTACTGAGATGATAATTTTATGCCCCCATAAACGAAGTTTCGGGGGGTGTAGTTTTTGTCGTGTCCGTCTGCCTCTCTCTTTGTCAGCAAACCGTTTAACCTTGCCCACAAGTTTTGATATAATAGAGGATCTATTACTTTCTTATTTCACATGTGTATTTCTTGTGACAAGACATCTCTTTGGGTACCACCAAATTTGACCTTTTGACCTTGGAGTTTGACCCACTTTTACACAAAAATTCCAAACTTTTACCTTGGTCATATCTTTTAAACAGATTTCAACACATTTATACTTCACCATTGTTTTATTTGTTGAAAGATCTTTCATTGGATACCAACAACCTTGACCTTGGAGATTTCCGTACTTATGAAAAAACTTTAACCTTGGCCATAACTTTTGAACACTTAGGGATACGGCTTTCATACTTCACGCATGTAATTCTTGTGAGACGACCTTTCATTGTATACCAATAACTTTGACCCTTTGACCTTGGAGTTTGACCTACTTTTAAAAAGCAAACCTTGACCATAACTTTTAAAGGGTAAGGGCTGCTTTCATACTTTACATTTTTAATTCTTGTGACAAGACCTTTTATTTAATAGCACGACCTTTTACCCTTTGACCTTGAAATTCGAACTTTTTCAGAGACCAGAAGAGCTTATGCGAAAGTCATGCGTCCGTCCGTCTGTCTGTAAACAATTTTTCAAAATGCCAATCATCCTACAGTTTATAGATTTTGACACACGTAAGGTTACACACACAGCTTGACACACATAATAAAGGTTAGGGCTAGGGCTACCATACTTCACATATGTATTTTTGTGGCAAGAACTTTCATTTGATACTAATTACCTTGATCTTTTGACATTGACCTTGGAGAAAAATTTAACCTACTTTTTTATTTCAGAATCGTATTTCATGTGAGTTTGCATTTAAGAAAAGTTTAATCTTCGCTATGTTGCCATACGGGGGCATCAGTGTTTCACAAACAAATCTTGTTCCCCTTATATATTAGAATAATGGATATCTTTCATTACCATAGTAATACAGTACTGTGGCCCCTTCCCTTTATCTTGGTTACTAATCAAACAGTTTTGAATATACATGAATATTAACCGAGGATACCCCCTCCTTTCCCCCCGAGGTGTCCTGATTGTACAGATGAACTGAAAAATGATTATATACTATTAATTCCTGAAAATGAACTGTACAAAGATTTCCGAACTAATAATATCCTATATTTGTAGTTTTTGACTCCTTTTAAGTTATTTTTCTGAAAAAGACATTACAAGAACAAATGTTGGAGACCATTTTCTTTCGTAATGAATGAAAGAAAAAGTGAGCAAGCTCTACTGGTTTGTACATGTATAGCAAAGGAAGAGAAAAGTACTTAAGCAGTTGGGAAATGAAACTTTACAACAGCAATAAATAGAATAATGATCCTTGATTAAGTATCTTTATGTTCTTAGTGTAATCTACTAAAAGTCTTGTGTGCCAAGTTATATTGAAATCAGACCAAAACTGTAGGAGGAGTAGCATTTTGAAACAATTTTATTGACATTTTTATTTTTAGTAACCACGACAACACCGTTCATGGAAATCAAAAAACAGATAACAAAAAACAGATAAAGCTAATTATGTATCTTAGTGTAGTCTACTTGTGTGCCAAGTTATATTGAAATCAGACCAAATCTGTAGGAGGAGTAGCATTTTGAAACAATTTTACAGAAATTTCTATTTTTAGTGACCACGACAACACCGTTCATGAAAATCAAAAACCGATAAAGCTAATTATGTATCTTAGTGCAGTCTACTTGTGTGCCAACTTATATTGAAATCAGAACAAAACTGTAGGAGGAGTAGCATTTTGAAATCATTTTAATGAAATTTCTATTTTTATTAGTAACTACGACAACACCGTTCATGGAAATCAAAAACCGATATACAGAACTATGTATCTTAGTGTAGTCTACTTGTGTGCCAAGTTATATTGAAATAAGACCAAAACTGTAGGAGGAGTAGCATTTTGAAAGAATTTCATAGAAATTTCTATTTTTAGTAACCACAGCAACACCGTTTATCGAAATCAAAAACCGATACACAGAATTATGTACCTTAGTGTAGTCTACTTGTGTGCCAAGTTATATTGAAATTAGACAAAAACTGTAGGAGGAGTAGCACTTTGAAAAATTGTTTACAGACAGACGGACAGAAAATTACGGAGGACGCATTACTATCGCATAAGCTTTCTGGTCTCTGACCAGTAATATGCACATACTACACAAAACTTAAAATAAAAAATAAAGGAATCAGAATTTTCCGCTTATACGTATGCACATCTACACATTGTTTCCTAAATACCTGCAAAGTCTGACGAAATTCTGTGCAGAGGTTTTAGAGGAGTTGCGCTGACAAACTCTTCATCTCTATATTCAAGGTATGACCAAAAATCTAATTTGAAAAGTGTGGAAATTCCCGGAAAATTAAAGGAATCGGAATTTCCTGGTAATATGCACATCTACACATTATATCCTAAATATCTACAAAGTTTGATGAAATTCTGTGCAGAGGGTTTAAGAGGAGATGTGCTGACAATCTGTCCATTTCTATATTCAAGGTATGGCCAAAAATCTAAGTTAAAAAGTGTGGAAATTTCCGGAAAAAATAAAGGAATCCCTCTTATATGCACATCTACAAAAAATATCTGCAAAGTTTGATGAAATTCTGTGCAGCGATTTTAGAAAAAATAATATTCAAAGGAATCGGAAAAATTTTTCCTGGGAATAACATGCACATTTACATATTGTGTCCTCAATATATGCCAAGTTTGATGAAATTCTGTGCAGCGGTTTAAAGGGAGTTGCGCTGACAAAAAACAGGACTGACTGACCGCCGGACGGACGTGTCAAAAACATTATACCTCACGCAACTTGTTGCGTGGGGTATAATTATAACCTTTTTAGATAAAGAGATTGGTAAAACATGATATGTACATGTACAGGAAACATACGGATGACCTAAATAAACATTATTCCCGTCAAAATATAATCTGAAAGATAAAATTTTAAGATATAACAAATGGTAAAATCCAACTTTTCACTTTAAATAATTTGATTACAGGGCATAATAAAATTGCACTATTAGTGCATGATCCAGATTTCTTGTCAAAGTTAATATACAAAAATCAAAGCTGAAAAAAAAATCAAGACCACATGTGTTTTATTGAATACATGTAACTAAGAAAGTTTTAACAAACCATCAATAACAATGATTTTTAATACAATATATCCCAAATAGTACAAAAATCCCTCAGACCACAAATATTTTTATTCTATGAAAGTGCACATAATTTCGGGAATTTTATGAGAAAAAGTCAGTGCCTTTAAGTTCCGGAGGGAAGTATTCCTGTTCCACTGGACCTTCGTAATTTGGATTGTACTTGTATCCTTTGCCATATCCTAAGGGAAAAAAAAGGTTCATATTATACATGTAATTGTTTTTATGCCGCAGAAATCGAAGATTCGGGGGTAAATAGTTTTTGCCCTGTTTGTTCATCTATCTGTCTGTTTGTCTGCAAAAACTTTGTTCATAACCTTTGCCTGGGTGGGGCTAGACTTTCATATTTCACAAGTACATGTACATGTATATTCCTTGGGACAAGACCTTTCTTTTTGTACAACTAAATTTAACCTTTTGATCTCGAAGTTTGAAACACTTTTTAAAAACACATGGGCCTTACAGGTCATCTGAGTATCATGTAACATATCATGTTTTAAACCAGAGGCCATGAAATTCACAATTTTGAAAGAGGCACCATTGCTTATCATAACTATACACTTAGCATGCTTACTTTGGTTACTTAATACCCAGAGGCAGATCAGAGTAACAAAAGAGAAAATGCATTTCCACTTTATCAGTTGTGCACCCCGTCCCACAGGAACCACTGACCATGGGGCCACATCTTTCAACATTTTGGAAATTTTATAAATTTTATTTCATCACGTGGTTGATTAATACCAAAGTGCATATTTCAAAGCATTAAATTATTTTCAAAATATGTACCCCCCTCCCACCTCCAAGTACATGTACCTCTGTCCCAGAGGGCCCGGAAGGCAATCATTTTGAAACAGGCAGCTTTCTTAGTTATAAATATGTACTAAGATCATTGGCATATACCCAGGAGCAAAAGAAAGACTTTCAAAGAATTCATGCATTTTCACTACATAAACATTAGAGACCCACCCTAACATTATAAGTTCTGAACTTCTGACCCAGGGGCCCTAAAATTCATAAATCTCAAAGAGGCATCCTACCTCCTCATAACTATGTACATAGTTCATTGGTCTAAAAACCAGGTGCAGAGAAGAAGATTTTTAAAGAATTTATGCATTTTCACTGTATAATCAATAGAGCCCACCTTAATACTCCAGAACCCCCAACCCAGGGGCCATGAAATTCACAATTTTGGAAGAGGCAGCCTTATTCAACATTACTATACAATTGGTCAGTTTATTTAATTCCCATGAACAGAGAAGAATTTCAAAGAATTTATGCATTTTCACTATATAATCTATATAGCCCCACCCTGTCACTAGAACCCCTGACCCTGGGGCCATGAGATTCATAATTTTGGAAGAGGCAGTCATTTTCAACTTAGCTATGCACTTGGTTATTTTATTTAATGCCTAGGAGCAGAAAACAGGAATTTCAAAGAATTTATGCATTTTTACAATATAATCGAATATATAGCCGTGCCCTAGCACCTCTGACCCTGGGGCCATGAAATTCACAATTTTGGAAAAGACAGTCATTTTCAACTTAACTATGCACTTGGTTAGTTAATTTAATGCCCAGGAGCAGAAAAGAAGAATTTCAAAGAAATAATGCATTTTTACTATATAATCTACTTAGCCCCACCCTAGCACTAGAACCCCTGACCCTGGGACCATAAATTTCAAAATTTTGGTAGAGGACTCAATGTTGATTACAATCATACCAACAGTTTGACTGCTTGATGTCCAGGAGTAAAGAAGAAGATTTTTTAAGATTGCACTAATTTTAAAGGTTTTAGCCCCACCCCCCAGAACCCAGGTGGGCAGGGACCATAAAATTCAAAATTTTTGTTCCCCTTCACCCATAGATTAGATGCTATATGCGAAATTCGGTTGAAATTGGTACAGTGGTTTCAGAGAAGAAGTTGAAAATGTTCAAATGTTAACACACAATGGACGACGACGGACAAAAACAGATAGCAATTCCTGAGTTTACTCAGGTGACCTAAAGATACGGAACTTTTACTTTTCCATAACTTTTTAACAGTTGGTGCTAGGACTTTCATATTTCACCCATGTTTTCTTTGTGACAAGACCTTTAATTGGATACTAACTTCAACATTTTTGAGATCGAACTTGGAGGATGGCCTATTTTAAAAAAAACGTTAACCTTGGCCACAACTTTGAAACGGGTAGGGCTAGCTATAGGACTTTCAAACATTTCTATACTTAACACATGTAATCCTTGTGACAGAACCAACAACTTTGACCCTTTGACCTTGGAGTTTGACTTACTTTCAAAAAAACTTTAACCCTAGCAATAACTTTTGAACAGGTGAAGCTAGGGCATTTAAATTTCACTGTATCTCTTACACAAGAGGCCCATGGGCCACATCGCTCACCTGAGCACTGTGGCTAAGAAAGAGTAGAAAATTGGTTTATTATTGAAAAGTTTTAATCCAAAAGAAGTCCCATGACCAATTATGGCTTTACTATTCTTGAGAAGATGATTTTTAAAGAATTTTTCTATATATTTCTATGTAAAACTTTGGTCGGCCATTGTGGCCCTGCCCTACCCCTGGGGGTCATGATTTGAACAAACTTGAATCTACACTATCTGAGGATGCTTCCATATAAATATGACCAATCATGGCTTTGTTATTCTTGAGAAGAAGATTTTTCAAGAATTTTCCAATAGATTTCTATGTAAAACTTTGGTCGGCCATTGTGGTCTCGCCCTACCCCCCGGGGTCATGATTTGAACAAACTTGAATCTACACTATCTGAGGATGCTTCCATATAAATATGACCAATCATGGCTTTGTATTTCTTGAGAAGAAGATTTTTCAAGAATTTTCCTATATCTTTTATGTAAAATTTTGGTGCTAGGCTTTCATTTTGGCCCCGCCCTACCCATGGTGACATGATTTAATTGGAACAAACTTGAATCTACACTACCTTGGGAATGGCCATTTTAAAAAAATGAATTATGGCTTAGCTAAACTTTGAAAGGGTAGATATTTAAAGAATTTTCCTATATATTTCTATGTAAAACTTTGGTAATCCATTGTGGCCCCGCCCTTTGACCTCCGGGGGTCATGATTTCAACAAACTTGAACTACACTATCCAAAGATGCTTCCATATAAATATGACCAATCATGGCTTTGTTATTCTTGAGAAGAAGATTTTTAAAGAATTTTCCAGCATATATATTTCATTTAAAACTTTAAACTTCGGTATGTTGTCATACATGGTCTCTATCCAACAAACACATTTACTTAAAAAAAAAATTTCTTGATCATCTACACTACCTATAAGATGCTTCCAATACAAAAAGACATTTATATTTTTATCCTGGCACAGTGATTTTTGTATATAATATTTTTAAAAAATACCACTAAATTTTCATTAATTTCCAATTAATTTTCCCTGACTTGTTTAAATATCAGCAGGCATATCACTGTTTAAACAATATTTGTTTTCATGCACATGTAAGGATACTTTGTGGCAAAATTGTTGCAAAACATTATTTAAATATTTTTGAAAATGTGAAAACTTTATTCAATTGCATTGGACATAACACACTAGACCAAAATAAATCCTTTACAGAGCTGGGTGTAATATTTTTATGTAAGCTTATTGGTTGAAAAAATGTGATCAGAGTTTACTCCATTATTTCTGCCACAAATGAAAAATTCATTAAAATTACTTTGGGTTCCAGCATATATGATTTGCATTTCAGAAAGTTTAAACTTCAGTATGTTGTCATACATGGTCTCAATATCCAACAAACACATTTAGTTAAAAAAAAAAATTTCATTATCATCATAAGGGCACACCACCTATAAGCCCATCTACTGTCCAATACAAAAAGACATTTATAATTTTTATCTCTAGTGTCACTCAATCATCCTCATTGTATATAATATACATGTAAATGTAATATCACAACATTTTGCCTCCTGAAAGTCATGACCAAGCAATAATTTTCACATTCTGACTTGTTTAAATATCAGCAGATATCACTGTTTAAACAATATTTGTTTTCATGCACATGTAAGTCTTCCTTTTCTATTCAAAATTGTTGCAAGAACATTATTTAAATATTTTTGAACACTGTAACCTTAACTTTATTCAATTGCATTGGACATAACACACTGTTACCAAAATAAATCCTTTAATTTGAGCTGGGTGTAATATTTTTATGTAAGCTTATTGGTTGAAAAATAATGACCGTAAAAACAGAGTTTAAAAATAATTATTTCTGCCACAAATGAAAAATTCATTAAAATATACATAATCATAATTATATTTTTCTCATTTTCTATTTAATCTTTGACAGGAAATACTCTTTTCTCTATTGCAGTTTTGCACTTTATGATGAAAATAGGATTTCTGTTGAGATAATTTTTTTTAATCTGATCCTAACAATCTGCTCACATAAAAATTGCTAACAGGGATCTGAAGAAATCCCATTGATGGTCATCTCCTGTTGACCTTTCTAATAAAAATATTCATTAAAATTTTGACCAATCAAAGAGATCCTACTTACATGTAATAGACATTCAGGAAAACGAATGTAGAAGTGAAAGTAACCGTGGATTTTTCTTAGCTTTTTGTACAAAACAAATGGCTAAAAATCCAGGGCAAGTACTTATTACTGTAAACCAACTTTTATTCGCGACGACTTTATTTCGCGATTTAGCAAGGATAAACTAGTTCGCGACGATTAATTTTCGCGATCAAGCCTTCTTGGATCTTTTATTTATAGACAAATGACACTTAAAGGACGGGTTCGCGGCGAGAAATATTCGCGCTAACGAGGCTCTCGCGAAGTTCGCGAAAATTTCTCGCACGCGAATAAAAGTTGGTTTACAGTATATCTTTGTACAGAAAAGACAGTGGTGTTTCTCTTGGTAGGCTTCGGAAACCAGATCACGATTTTTTGTTGAGATTTCCACATCTCTAACTGTATTCCGAAGTACGTACTTCTAAATTCTTGGAAGTAAAAGTTTGATTGGATAATTGAAAGGTCACCAGGAGATGACCCTGGATGGGGTTTCTTCAGATCCTTGTAAAGCAATCTATGTGAGCGGCTTTTAAAAATCAAGAATCTCCTTTACCCATGGATGCTTTGTGTCAGCTTTGGTTAAAATTGATTAGTGAAGAGGTTCTTGAGACGTTAAAAGTTTTAACACAAAAGGATGATGGACAATCAGAAAAACTCAACTGAACTCAGCTTGAGCTTAACCTTAAAACACATTTTCCATCATACCCATGCAATTAGTTTTCTTTCTATCCAGGAGTAGTGAAGAAGATTTTAAAAGGCATAATACATTTTCAAATTAAGGAGGATGGGGGATGTCAACAAATTAACAATTAGCTATAAATTAATTTTTTTGATATGATATCTTAAGCTCTCAACTATCAATTGGCAAAGAAAAATTTCATACATTTTAGTTTTAGAATTTTATCATTTTTATATATCTTCATGTGGAGAGCTCTTCTTTTAAAGGAGATCAATATAGTCTTATAATGGCCACAACAACCCAGCCCTCTTAAATATATGATTAAAAGACATCCCCCCATCCTTGTGCATCTTTGGCCATTAAAGAAGAGTCATGTTTTGAACAGACTTATTTGCTGGTCAATTAAACTTCGATATATCAAACATATTCAAGAAAGTAATGTATTGAAAAATTAACATCCAGTAGGTTATTGGACAGGCAGTTTTTCATATATCTTTTTTAAAAAATCAGAATTTTCAATCATTAAATACATATACAAGTTTTGAATTAAAACTGATCAATAATTACAAAAGTATTGATTCATAGGAAATAGCACATCTTAACAATTATCACAAAATACATAAAGAACTTCATTTTTGACATGTTGATTTTACAGTCATTCAAAGTTTGAATTTGAAGTGCAATTTGTAATAACAGTGAGACAAGAACCTCAAAATGGGTAATAAAACTCCATTTTTTGAGAAATTTATACATTAAATGATGTATAAGATTTTTTAAATAGACTTGTTGAAGAATCTACTATATTGCATATTGCATGATAAAAAATGTATCAAATTGTATCGATTTTTTTTGTTTAAAACACATGCAGCCCTTACTAAGTGTTTAACCTCTTCCGTGGCAAAGATTTTTAGCATTTCTTAACAAATTGATATTAAGATTTCGATGCATTCTTTAGTATTTATTGTAATTTTTGTGTATACCAATGTATATATTCTGAAAGCATGTATTGTGTAGTTTCTGAAAATTATTATCAAAAAATTTCAGTTGCCATGGCAATGAAATACACAATTATCATGCTGGAATTTCCATTTATTCAAGAATGAATTTCATTGTGGTTTTTTGCTTTGTTATATATATCTAAAAAAAAATAATTTATTGTTGTGTTGAAAATTATGGGCATGTTGTACATTTTTTTTTTTTTTTTTTTTTTTTACAAACCAATTTTAAGTATTTTGGGGGGATGGGACGGGGTTGGGAGGTTATACAGAATTTAGCATTTTTACATGTTACCCCTGCATTGATTTCAATAATGGCAAAATTGCTCAAATAGTGAGCAAAGTTTAACTCAAGCTAGCAAAAAACTGGTATATCCAATAAAAAAATTCTGTGTACTATTTTATCTTTATTATTTTCTCTTTCCAACGGTGCAAGATTTATTCTGATATTTGCAGTTTTAATGAAGTTATGTTTTTTCACACAATACTCGTTTTTCAAGTCAGATGCGTAGAAATGCGTATATGCCATGTAAGGGGTTAAAAGTTATGTCCACCTATATGTGTGATATATCCTCTCACCTAATGACTTGAGGACTTTGTTTGAGGCATTCCTTAAGTGAAGAGGTACAGATGGCAAAGGCCCCTTGTGGTTGACAACTGAATTTTTGGCTTTACTGTATGCCTGGTACACTTCTACCTCCTTAGGGGCACGGGCCAAATATACCACACACTGAGCCAAGTTCACCTGAAACAAATTTAAAGCTGCTAAATTCATACAACAGAACCACAAATTGATACAATATAGGGTTAAAAACAAAATTATTGAAGTTCGATTTCACTGTAGTCAAGTAGCCATTGCATTATAAATCATGAGCATATGATTCAGAAGTATAATTATGAATGAAACTAAGTTGTACACTGTATACTTAAATCTATAAAAAATCTTCAAGGAGTTCCCGACATAGGATAAATCTTAATTAAATTCAAACTTTTTCCTCTCATTTTTCAGTGTAAACAATCAAAATAGAGTTGTGTCCAAGATTGGACTGTCTTAAAATTCTACTTCGACATTCTCAAACATAGGTAATCAAAGATTACAAAGCTTACCTAGACGAATGTTATTAGTTTAAGTAATGCATATCTCACATCATGTTTTCTTAAAACTTAGTATTTATTCTGACAACAATATTCAAGCAAGTTCTGTTTAAATAAGTCTTAAAGTTCATTGGGGAATGACCTGTTCCAAAAATTTTAACCTGGCACTTCTTTGGAAAATGAAGGTCAGATCCACTATCCGAAGCAAGTTTCCATTGTCCATCCTTAGATGCATCATCCATGCAAGTTTGGTCCCCGTAGGGCTTATACACTGTAGTAACTTGGGAATAACCTAGTCAGTAATCTGGAAAATGTAGGTCAGTTCCAGCATCCGAAGCAAGTCTGGTAGTGTCCATCCCTAGATGCATCAACCAAGAAAGTTTGGTCTGGATAGGGCTTATAGTTACTTGGGAATGGACTAGCTCCAAAAACTTTAATCTGGTCACTCATCTGGAAATTGTAGGTCAGATCCAGCATCCGAAGCAAGTCTGGTAGTGTCCATCCCTAGATGCATCATCCATGTAAGTTTGGTCTAGGTAGGGCTTATAGTTACTTGGGAATGGACCTGCTCCAAAAACTTTAACCTGGTCACTCATTTGGAAAATGTAGGTCAGATCCAGCATTCGAAGCAAGTCTGGTTGTGTCCATCCCTATATGCATCATCCATGCAAGTTTGGTCCGGGTAGGGCTTATAGTTACTTGGGAATGGACCTGCTCCAAAAACTTTAACCTTGTCACTCATCTGGAAAATGTAGGCCAGATCAAGCATCCGAAGCAAGTCTGGAAATGTCCATCCCTAGATGCATCATTCATGCTAGTTTGGTCCAGGTAGGGCTTACAGTTACTTGGGAATGGACCTGCTCCTAAAACTTTAACCGGGACGCCGACGCCAACACCAACACCGACGCCGACGCCGGGGGTATAGCATAGGCTCATCTCGACTTCGTCAAGGTGAGCTAAAAACTAAATTCTAGCAGTCAAATCTTTCATTTACATCCAATTTTTCATTCTTTATTCTTCATATTTTCTCAGTAAATGACAACACCTGAATCATATTTATTATCCTCTTAACCCTTTAAGGCCAGTGATGCCTTCAGTATTGACACCTATCATGTTTCAAAACCAAATGACTCTGTCTAATTACGTGAAATTTTCACTCCAAGGACCCTACATTATTGGCATTTTATCATCTACTCAAGATTATTTACCAAAATATTCAAAAGTAAAATGAAATTTACACATTTGAAGAATATAAACTGAGTTTCATTTTTAAGAGATATTGATATGAGATTAACTCTCCTTTAAGAAACACCTACATCACACTCCGGCATTCCTACAAAATGGCAGGCCTGGTATGCTGACACTGCTTGATTCAGGGCCTGAGGATCACTCAAACCTGCAAATATGAACATCCATATGCACTCAATAAGCAACCTAAATTTTGTAAAAAAGGCCACTGAAGACGGAGCATCTCCTTGCAAAGAGCATAATTATCTATTAATCAATGGAGTTTTCTGATCCTGATGCAAATTATATCACTTCAATTTCATCAACTAATGCTACAGTGTTACTCCTTACTAATGAACCAACACAACTGGATCACTATATCCCATTCAACTCTTTTGAGAAGGGAAAAAAATTGTGCTTTATACATGTTTGTACTGAAAGTTTTAACATTGATGCTACAGATGATTTTTTTTTTCAAAACTTTATTTGAAAGAAGATGTTTTTCTCAAACTTAGTTGCAAATCTTACCAATATCCTCACTGGCAATCCTGATAAGTCTCCTAGCAATGTACCGTGGGTCTTCGCCCCCCTCTAACATCCTGGCCAGCCAATAGAGGGCAGCACTCTCACTCGAACCCCGAATAGATTTGTGCAGGGCTGATATTATGTTATAGTGTTCATCGCCTATAATATGAATTCAAATTAAATGTAAAAATATTTATTGTCACATAGATTTAAACAAACTAGAAAACTGACCAGTCAGCACAAGCCCTGCTGAAGGGTAGAAATATAAGGGTGCAGCTTTTGGAATGAGAGTTTTACTTAATTACTTAGTCAAGTTAGCTAAACCTTTTATGTCTAGTATAACAAATCAATGTTTACCCCCAGTGAACATACATGATGGAAATGAGGACAATTTGATCAGCTTAACTTTGGTGCCTTTCACTGTGTAAAATAAACCTTCTACTAATCTTGTAACAATAAAATGTCCTCTGAAAGTACAGTATGATGCCTGTATTACGTTTAGAATATTTCAGAACACACAATGAACATATACTGCCCTTTTCACCTTACTGTGTATAAAAGTACATGCGAAAAGACATGTTTAACTCGTACTTAATTGAGACTGAAGGATTTTTAGCATATCTTAAAATTTTTGAATAGTGTACTTTATTTATTTTGAGGAAATGTTTGTCTAAAATACTAATTTGTTTGGACTGCCGCACCTTACATCTAGATAAAAGTTACATTAAAATAGCATGTGTTCCTTCTAAAATATAGTCATGCGTCAGCATGGCGATATTGTTAAAAGGCAATAAAATACAAAGTTAACCTTTTTTTTTAATGAGTTTTACACATTTTTCATTACATGTAATATGGAATTTCTTTAGTTTCTAAGAAAAACTTGTTAAACCCTAGTTTTTGGTGCACTTTTGAACTTTGCAGAACCTCATTGAGGAGATTTTCTTGCCTTATTAAACATGTACCTCTATTAGTTTTTCCCCAAATATGAATTAGATCGTAGAATGTTAATTAAATAATTCCCTAAAAATCGCTGTGAAACTGCTCATGCATTAGTCAAATGAGCTAATCCCTGTTTCGAAAGCTAATTCATGGTTGTCCATGATCCTCTACCTTTTTTTTTAGGATTGGTACATGTACATGTAATGGACTAATGAAAATCTGAAAGCTAATTCCAAAATATTTGTAATCCTCTATTTTTTTTTAATTTACTTTTATATTGGTATACCCCTGGTAATTAAACATTTAAAAATATGTATCATTGAGTGAGTTACATGTAGAAAGAATCCAGTTTCCCTCAATGGATTATTTGCCTCGGCCATGCTTCGGGAAACGGTCCTGGCTTTGGGGAATCTCGCTTACTCCCTCAATGTTATACTTTAATTGTATACTGTCATAGAGAATGTAGGCCCTTTATAGGACCATCCTCAGACTGACATGTACCTGCTCTATCATAGAGGACATGAGCTATATTTACATGTCTTCCCTTGTGAAATTTACCTGCTCTATCATACAGGACATGTGCCCTTTGCAGAACCTCCCTGATGTCGTCTACTGTGACCACCACCATGCCTCCCTGTTCTGTCTGCTGAGACTGTATGGACATTTGTAGGCTGTTTAAGGCACACCTGGCATCACCATCACACAAGTTTGCAAGACTTTTGATGGCATCCTTCTCTATCCATGCAGCAACCCTAAAAAACAAATAACATCCTAATATCACAAAAGCGAATGAAAAGATTACATCTTAATTTAAAAACACATAAATATATTGTGAAATCACTAATTTTCGTGGGGGGTTCATTTTCCTGGATTTAAAGGTCTGGAGAGACCCTTGAATTCATGACCACCATGAACTGTAAAATTTGATATGCATTACTAGTTACTACTACACATTTTTTCCAGCCACGAAATTAAATCCCCACAAACCAATATTTTTTCTTCAAACCTCAAAAATTTGACCCCTCAAAAATATGTGATTCTACAGTACATAACTTTAATATTTTTTTTTTCTGATTTCAATTTTTTTTCAATACATAAGAACTTTAAATTAGCAGATAAAAAGATTCTATGTATCTATACAGAAATAATATTTGTCGAACATATAGGTATAAAACATACTCATCATTTTCCTCAATTTCCTCATCTTTCTTGAAGATCTGAGCTGAGATGTGGTCACAAGCTCTTTTTAAGATCTTCTCAATATGGCTAGCCTCCAGTTTCTCAAGTACAATCAGCTTGCATCTACTTAGGAGAGCACTGTTTACTTGAAAGGATGGATTTTCTGTTGTGGCTCCAATGAGGACTATGGTTCCATCTTCAACATGGGGCAACAAGGCATCCTTTAAACAAATTGAAGTACAATCTAAATTATGTTCACAGATATTGAGATAATGTTTTTTCACTGCCAGATATCATGAGGTGTAATAGAAGAATCTTTCAGTTATAATATTGTACATTTACTATGCATCTTACATACATCTAGCTGCAGATCTGTAGCTCAGTATCTGAAACTTGATGGGACCAATAAATAATTTAGTGGTGAAGTTACCTGTTGTAATTTATTAAACCTGTGAATCTCGTCTAGAAACAGAATTGTTCTCCTTCCTAGGTTTTTCTGGTCATTTTTGGCGACCTTGACTGCTTCTTTGACGTCATTGACCCCTGCTGAAGTGGCTGACATCGTGGTGAATTTGTATTTCCCCTTTATTTTACAGCTGTTTGCAATAATCTTGGCTAATGTTGTCTGCAAAAATATAAATAAATCAAGGTACTTGTGATATTCAAATCCTTTTTTCACAATTTTCTTTAATACAATAACAAAGGCCATTCTCCTTAACATTTTAAGTTTAATTTTAGGCCATTATAAATATATTCCTAGATTCTCATCCCCGTCCACCTCAATTTTATACCCCCGCTTCGATTTTTTTATTTCTGTTTTTCTTCGTCTTAATTCTGATTGGGATCGGTATTCATCTACCATTCTACTTTCATTTTAAATCCCGCGAAAGTCGACATGATTTTGACAGCTGAAAAGATGGTAATTGCTGTAATACATGCGTATATATTATAAACAAGGGTCATTGGTTGAAAAAGATTGGTGATGATGTGAAGTAAGAGATAATTGAACCTTTACAATGACTTTTATTCGGTATTGTAGATAAAATTACACCGATTGACCAGGTCAATAAAAAATCTGCAAAACTGAAAAAATAAAAAATATAAAATAAAAGCCGCCAGCCCGCCTCGATTTTTAAAAAAAATTCTAATGAGAATCTAGCAATTTATTTTAAATGCATAATTATGACCCAATAGAGAAAAAATGTTTCCCATATTGAGTATTCAAATTATTGTGCAATGCCCAATTGCAGTTTCATATTTTTCTAGTTTACTGCTGAGGTCAATGTTGATTTCACATGAGATAGAAACAAAATTTGTCCTTGGCTGAACATGATATCACAGCCTAAATATTCAAGATTACGACAATTTGTGATCAAGGAGCCAAGGGTAGGAGAGATATATGTAGTCTCTTAACCGTAGCTGGAGACGATGATAAGCCTTGGGTTTACTATGAATTTATAATCATTTAATAAATAGGAAATAAGTTCGTTCTCCAGGTCCAATCAAAAGTGTATGAGTATTTATCCTGTTGTGTTTTATGCACTTTTTTTTTTGTCTTCTGTCTCAGTGTGCATAATTAAATCAACAAATTATTTATATCAGTGACATGTTTGCTTTGAAATTAATACCTGGTACATCAATATATTTGATAAAACTTTACAGAAACATTAATACATGTACATACTATGAAAATTACTATTCAGAAGTTGTTTAGAAATAGTTGTGTAGTTTATCAAAAAACTATGTAGAATTTACCTCACCTATGAAACATTTATGTATTACGGTACATGTATCTGTGGTACCTTGTGAATTCAAGTTGTTTATAGTGTTTACAAAAAAAAGTACAAGATGACTAACAGGTAATTCCTTTACAATGGACTAGGTATAAGCAATCCGCCTCCTTCATGTTAGACTTCAACTAATCGTAATATACATTTTACCCCTAACCAAAACATTAGGTCTAAAGTGGTTTTCAATATCAACATCATCTCTTCGCTCGTACAAGCCGCCATTTTCCTTGACTGAACTTTCATGACAATTTTCTCTGGTCAACATCTGAGGTTTTGAGTGAATGCTGCCAGCACTTTTGATGGATGCATATCTACATATCCAAGGTTGTTAACATAACTTATGTTGAATACCCAAGTTTACCTGTAAATTTCACACACAGCATTGCCATTGTCTTAGCAATGTGTAGGTAAATGCAACAGAATGTTATTACCTTTCCACAACCTGGAGGGCCCCATAAAATCATGGATGGAATATCATTACTTTTCATCAAACTTCTGAGCATACTTTTCTTTCCAACTGCCTTTTCTTGGCCTACAAAGTCATCTAAAACAAGTGGTCGCAATTTTTCTGCAAGAGGTACAGAACCACTAACACTGTCAGAATGTTCATTTTTCGGTACCATGCCAAAAACTGGAATGTTGTTAGACTGTTTCTTGTCAACAAATGGGGTATTTTCGGTATCCTGACTATTATCGTCACGTTGAGCATCATTATGATTTTGATTTTTCTTCGATTGAGCTTTCTTCGGTGAACTTGTTTTTGCTTTCTTCGTACTAGGACCTGCTGTTGCTCCTTTTTGTGGTTTTAGGCTACCCCAAGCAGATTTCTGACTCTGAGGGGATGTTCCTGGCCCTTCACTGCTTTTTCGTTTTTTAGCCTGACTCGCGCTGCCTGTTGAAGAATTGCTGTCATTCCTGTTTAAACAATTGTTCACATGTCTGTTGATTACCGAGGGCTGGAAACTCTGCGAACACAAGGGACACTCAACAGTCTCCGTAGACGCGAAGATGTTTCCCTCCATTACTTTGTTTACAGCTCTATCTGGAACACTTCCGATGCATTCCGAGGAGATTATTTATAAATGTCAAAACCAGTCAAGTATTGCTATGATTTTCCCGGATAAAAAAAACAAGTAAACACAGAATGCAATGGCGTTTTTTTTTTAGACTTTGAGAAACTTATTAATATCATACAGTATTAGTAGTAACTTTACCGATACTTTAAAAAATATTACAGATTATATAAAAAGAAAAAATGCAAGGTATTTATGGGCTATGAAGAGAGCTTGGACAAGTGTGTGCATGGAGCCAAATGAAACGGAACTGTATTTAAACAATAAAATGCTTTCTTTGTTTGTTATTACTGGAATTAACGGAAGCAGTTGTTGCAGAAAAAATACATAACCCGCGTAAGCGAGTTATGTAAATTTTTTCTGCAATAGCTGCGACCGTTAATTCCAGTAATAACAAACAAAGAAAGACATTTTATTGTTTATATTTATATCTGTTTAATTAATCATTTAAAGTAGGATTAAAAAGATTAATAATTGTATTAATGATGCAAACATCTTTATACGTTTCATAAAACCTTATGAACGCCCCAAAATTTTTTACCTTCGCCCAAGTACAAACATGAGCGCCCCAAATCTTAATACGAGCGCCCCAAACGTATTTCATTAGCATTTCGGGCGCCCCAGTTAAATTAACTAGTAAAGAACCAAACTGTTGTCTTTGATGCGTGTTTTATTACAATTTATTAGATTTAAAAAATATATTATTATTCACGAGTGTCCCGAATGATATTTATCAGTTGTTTATCTTGAGTGCTTCAAGTTTTACGATGTATAATAACGAACGCCCCAAGAATTGTAAACTAGCATTATATGAAGATAAATGTAAACGTACTAAACAAATGGAATTCATATTTATACGTGCATTCCCGAAACTTAATTTATTTTTATTTTTTTTTATTTTTTGATTTATTCAGTTTTGCTAAATATAACTTGGCACACAAGTAGACTACACTAAGATACATATAATAGTGCAATTTCGATAACGGTGTTGCTATGGTTAAAAAATAGAATTTTCTTAAATTCTTTAAACACGCTATTTCTCCTACAGTTGTAATAATATTACTTGGTTTTAGACTACCTTGTAGAAACATAAAATAGTCATTATACCTTGATTTCCTGTAAATGGGTAAATTAAATTTTCTTTGAAATTTCTTTAAAACGCTACCACAGTTTTGACCAACTTTTTTATTAAAGCGTCTGGTTACGTAGGTTGCAATTTTTTTTTCAATATTACGTAACACACAAGTAGACTACACTAAGAAATTTATTTAGAATCTGAAATTTCTTTAAAACGCTACTCCTCCTACAGTTTTGATTTGATTTCAATATACACACAAATATAAGATATATAAAATAGTGCATGGATTTTAAGAATACAAAAAATTTTCTTTGATACATCATTTAACCTACCCAAAGTCATCTATCTATTTTTTGAATTTTTTTTTACTAATTTTAATGATGTAGATTAGGTTCAAAATCGCAGTATATCCTTAAAGTAGTAAATAGTGCACTTTTTTTTAAATCGCCGTGGTTGCAATTTTTTTTTTATAAGTTTTTTATTTAGAATCTGTCAGTAATAAATATACAACAAATATTATGTACAAAAAATTATACTGATTATGTCAATGCTATTAATTTTTTTTACTAATTTTAATATGTACACACCTGTATATCCTAGATAGTGCAGTGCCGGATTTGTGGTGTACCTGTGTATACACACACCTGTAATCATAATTTCAGACACCCAATTCAACAAACATACACTGTAATTCTGGTCCTTCGACGACTTATACCACCTTTCCATGTGAATTATACATCGAACATACACAGACGGATCATGCGTGTAAATTAAAATGAATACATCTAGAAATTGATAAAAATAAATACATAAACGCAATCCCCATTTTAAGCACTTATCTGCATTTCCAAAAAGGAAAAAAAATACTGTACGTCAAAGACTTCATGACGCAGATTTGGTCAAGCAACTATCACAATTTGTAAGACTTTATTTAAAATGATTTATTTCCCCCCAATATTATCATGCTTTATCGCCAAATTAATTCAAATCATTTCATATAGCCGGTATTTGATAAAATATGGGAGGGGGGGGGGTATTCTCCTTTTATTTGGGATTACGGTCGTGCTCTGACTTTAATACAAATGATGTACTATTATCTTTAATTACACGAATAAAACTTGATAATTTAAAAGAATATTTCACCAGATTTCTTTGAAGAAGGAAAAGTAAACAAATTGATATTTAGACGAGCACCTGCATGTGTATCTGTGACCAAATTATTTGGGGCGCTCGAAATGCTAATTTGGGGCATTCGTGAAATACGTTTGGGGCGCTCGTTATTAATATTTGGGGCGCTCATATTTGTACTTGGGCGCCGGTAAAAAAATTTGGGGCGCTCATGCATGGGGCGTTCAGGTTTTGGGGCGATACGACAGTAACCCGTTTCATTGATGGAACAGCCACTGATCAAGAAATCTGTACAGGTGACATGCCTAAATGTAGTTCATGCAGTGATTAACGAAATGGGTTTTCTTAAGAAATAAAGGAGAAAATATTCAGTGGATGTAAATATATTTTTGTAAAGTACATGTAAAACTTTATATATTTGAGATTGCGTATTTGACGATGAATAAAATGAATGCTTGCTGTAACATTGATTCAGTATTAATTTCAGTGACGGATTCAGGGGGGGGGGGGTTGTGGGGGTTCGGGACCCCCCCCCCCCCAGCTCATTGAATTTTTTTTTTTACAAGTGTCGTTTTATCATTTTATTGCGTTGATAAGACTCAAATAAACATGGGCCCTTTGTTTGTACAACTGTGAAATATACATCAACTACGTAACAGGAAATCATTTTCCGCTTGAACGCACACAATACACAGGTATAAATCAACAGAGAGAGTGCCTCAGAGATCGGGTAGTCCGTGCATCTAGTGAAATCACATGATCACAGTACAATGTAGTCAGGTACCAACAACAGAAAACTGCATAGTTACGGTGCTGCTCAGTAATATTCTTTTGCTGATAAAATGCATGTTTTTGAACCATGAAATCAATAAACTATTATTCAGTTTTTTTTAATTACCATTTTAAAAATTAAATTAAAAATTATATTAATTTTTTTTTTTACAAAACCGGGTTTGCTTAGCAAACCCCTCTAGTTTTGACACATTCTCCAGTTTATGTAATTTTTCTTCAGTTTGAAATTTCATTAATTGTACATGTACACGTGTGTTTATATTCCAAATCATATTGACAGTATATACTCAAGTAAGTTGAAAAGCACTAGTTAGGGATTCTGAAAAGAATTCAATTTTTATTTTTATTTATTTATTTATTTATTTTTTAAATTTTGCACATTTAGTTGTATCTTGCATGTCAGCTTGACATACAACTAAATTAATTATAGGTGCATTTAAAGTAAAGACAACTTGAAGTCAACTGCTAGTATTCCTAAAATTGTCAGATTTAAGAATTTTTTAAAGCAAAGTCTAAAGTCTTGTATTAAAGTTAAAATTAAATTGAAAACATTTTATTAAAAATTTGTGATGATCGGTCTCTAAAAAAGCTACAAAAAGTACCCCCAAAATGCTCGAAAATGCACCATTTACAAACATTTAAAACAAAAAACCCCGCCTATGGGAGGGGGACACCCCCTCCCATGCCCTCCCCTTCGGCCCTTTGGGCCTCAAACCCCCCCCCCCCCCCATGAACTTCTGGATCCCCCACTGAGTTTCATAGGAAACAGGCGAACAGATCCGCGCCATTTGAAAGGATATTGGGACTTTTACAAGAGAAGAGAAAGAATAACTAATTTTAACGAATTCCAGAACATCATGAAGAAAAAGCCTTGAAAGCTGAGTTGATATACCCAGATTTTTCCTAATAAAACACCTGAATTAATGAGTCAATTTTAGAATTTAGAGTAGGAAAAGCATCATTTAAAAAAGTGATAATATGGAAATTTGGCATTCTTTCCTTGATAAGCTAACCTCCTTTATTGGCCGGGAAAAAAAAAATTACAATTAAATTTTATATTTGGAAAGTTCAATTCCTTGTCAAAAATGCTGAGATAAAGTACTATGTTAATTAATTAGAATTCCCGGCTGAAATGTCAATTACATATACATATATATAAAAACAATAAAGTAATGATTAATTAATAATTCCATAAACCAAAAGTTACATATGTTACCAATGAAACAACAGTCTTAGAAAACTTACACGATAGACGGTCTAATAAGGAACAATCAGCATGACAGATTGTCTTATACTTGTAAGGGACATACTCCAAAGGAATATAGGATAATGCTCCAGTGAAATATATGTAGGTAAAAGAACTCGAGTATAATCCTAGTACAATGTTACATACATGAAAGGTCGCCTGCCTGGTGCAGTGGTATACTGCATTATGTACATGTACGTCTGCTCTAGAGTCGCGGAGTAATAAGTTCTCAATGGGGGGTTGGGTGGTCTATTGATAATGAAGTTAGTGCATTCTTTAAAATCTTCAACTTAGTGCAGAACTAAGTGCAGAGTTTTGATGATGAGGGTACTTCTTCAAGATCTGTGAAATTCATGACCCTGGGTCCTAGGTTTTGGTGTTAGGGCTGTGTAGAATCTCTAGTGAAAATGCATAATTTTTATGAAATTTTGTTTGTTCCTTGGCGTGTCAAAAGTAAAAAAAAGTATATGTATTGATAAGCAAGGATATTTTTAACCAGATTTTATTATCTGAACCATTTGGTCAAGTGTTCTGGTCCTGGCTAGGGCTATATAAATTTGTATTCTATTGAGAGAAGTTACTCCCTTTTGCAATTCACTTTTGATAATTTTAAAATCAATGTAAATAATGTATTTGAAAAGTTAATAGAGTAAAAGAATTATGCGAGAAATTTTATTGTAAAATCAAAAACACTTTCATATAGTTTTAATGAATAAAAATGAGACAAGAATAACTTATTAAAATGTTCTACTT